ATGCTCGAAGTGCATTGCAGACAAAGTAAATAAACGAAAGAAAAACGAAAGAATAAAAATGCAAGACAGAAGAAGAAGAAGAAGAAGAAGAAGAAGAAGGAATGAAAAAAGCTCGAATTGAGCCAACCACACATCGCCAATCATACTTGCACGTTACACCGACTTCCACACCATGGCATCGAGTATTATGGCAAAGAAGCACAAACATAAACTCACTCGCCACCGCTCGCAATACGTGCATATTCAAAACTATGCCACACATCAAACACACAGTCTGCTGTGCATGGCATGGAGACTTTTTTGTGCGCTTTTATTTTTCGGTGCGGTTTTTTCTTCTTCTGCTCTCTGCTACATTTATTTCTTTGGCGTGTGTGAGTGTGTACTGTTTTTTTTTTCTGTTGCTCTTCATATCACCAGCTACTTACTTTGCTGCATCGCCAAGAAATAAATATATGTACGTATATCACCATGTGATATGGAAGGCTATGCTAGAAATCCGTATGTACGTCGTGTGTAATGCAATGTACTTGCACATTGCTCACTGAAGAGCAAAAAGTCGAACAACTCGGCAGCCAACATTAAAGCACGCATCAGCCCATATACACGTCAAAACAAAGTTTTTTTTTGCTGTTCGCTCCCTTTTGGTGGACTGTTTTAAATTTAATTGTTGGAGCTATAGTTATTGATGTGTTTTTCTCGATTTTTTTCGTTCTCTCTCTCTCTCTCTCTCTCTCGCTACATATCGATGGCTGATTTCTTTTACGGCCCTGAATCCGTTCGTGTTGATATTCGGTATATTGCACGTCACATTCGTCATATAAAATACTTTTGAAATATTTCATTTCACCTTTGTTGTCGACGTTTTATGTTCGTTAAATGTCCATTGTGTGCTATAAGTCTGTCACTGATGGGCTGCTGTTGCCTCCACTGCCACTGCTTCTGCTGCTGCTGCCGCTGTTGCCATCGTTTCGATGCGTATGTCTCTATTTAGTGGCTGTCGGTTATTGAGACTCTAAACCGATTTCGATTGGAAGACAAAAGGCACAAGACGCAAATATAATAGCACTATTTATGTGTTCACTCGTCGTCGCCGCCGTCGTCGTCGTTCATTCAAAAGACAAATCCAAGAAGTGATTTGGTTTTTCTGACAAAAACCAAATCGGTGTCTTTTCGAAGGCAATTCTTTTTTTTTGATCGGATCCATGGCACCCATAAGAAGAGATAAGTATTAATCAAGTTTTACTAGATCCGTTCACTTTTCACCCAGTGTGTGCTTTATACTTACAACATTTGAAGTGACATATCATTGATTGATGTTTGCAAAAGGCGAACAAACAAAACACACGGAGAGAGAAAAAAGAAGAAGAAAAAGTAGAAAAAATCAACACACACCAACGATACGACAGAACCATTCACACACACAGAGAGAGAGAGAACTTTTTTCTGTTTCGTGTATTTCAGATTTTAAAAGTGCGTTAAGTATTTGACAGCTGCAATTACGGTGTCTGTGCGAATTGACGGTTTTCATTGCTGGAAAAGTGATTTTCGTGTAAGAATTCGATTCAAAACGATTTGCAGGATGTGTCCACAAGAGAAAAAAAAAACTTCAACCGCATTTCATTTCTTCTGCAATGGGTTCTTTGTTAATGATTTCAATTGGTTTTGCCGTTTGCCACTTCCTACCACCGTTATTTTGTGCGCACCGCTCATTTGCTTATCGATCGATGAGCACGTTTGAATGTGCACAAAGGCCACCGTATTCTTCTTCTTCTACTTCTTCTTCTTTTTCGCCTTTTCAGCTGCTTTACGGTCATCAGATGTTTGCACACATTCGCACCACATTTGCATTGAATTGAATTGTAATTAAGAAAATGTTCGATTCTTCTTCGTATACGATTTTTTGTGTTGCTATTGCCGCTGCCGCCGCCACCGTACGCGAATCGTCGAATATTCATAAAGATTATTAATTAATACTTACACGCCTTAATAAACATGTGCAATTTATTTGGTATTGAAACCGAAACGATGTAATCAATGGCAGCCAGCGGGGTGTGTGCGTGTGTGTGTGTGTTGGTGTTCGCCATTCAAACCAAATCATACAATATAATACGAAGCACAACCGAATTTTTTTTTATTGATAATCGAGATAATAAAATGTAATCGTTAAGCGCGTAAACATATGCGCCAACTGACTGCAGCGGTAGATAGAAACTGTAAAGAAATGGAAAGAGCGAGATGGATGCCGTCGAGTCGAAAGAAGCCGCAAAACTATTTGCATTTCACCGGTAGTAATGACCATATTTATGCGATAAGTCTTTTTGCGCGTGGATAAAACCGATTTCAACACAAAATATGCATATTTCAAGGACTTTACTAGGCTGGAGGATACCTAAACATACATTTATTCAAAAGTGTGTTCAGTTTGTAGAAGCATGGAAAAAAGTGGCATTTTGCCATGACACACCAAATATGGCCAGATGAAATTCCACATGAAATATCATTTTCCGTATTTCACCCATTTGAAAATGAAAAAGAAGTTGTTAGAATAGTGACGAACAATTTTTTTTTCGATGGTGGAAAAAAACTCGACTTTATTTCGAAGTTGAATGTTCAGTCCAGTGTGTAACGTAGAAAAAAAGAAAGAAAAGAAATCCAAAACACACTGTCACATTGCGATATAAATCAATATTGGTCACCGATCACTTTCAAATTCCAATAGATTTTCTTCTGTTTCGAGTTGCTCTCTGTCACTCGGTTCGTATTCGATATTCTTTCTCCTCCGTTTATTGGTTAAATAACATATAGCGAAGAAAAAGAGTATTACTGATAGAGAAACGAGTAGACAAACGCCGAGAAAAAAAGCCGGCGAAACAAAGACAGCGCAACATACGATTTTAAGAAATTCTTTTTTTTTTTTGTTCACATAAATTTAATGGAATAAAAGCAGAATCGGTGTATCGGCATGTGGAAGAAAATGTTTACATGGCGCATCGGCGATAGAATCAAAGAAATTCGACCGAGCGAGAGAAGAAACGGAGTCACATATTTGACGATCAAAATCATACAAACACACAAAAACCGTGGAGTTTTGACAGTAGAAAATGCACAACGAAAGCAGCAGCAGCAGCAGCAGCAGCAGCAGCGAGTTGGTTTCATTGTTGGATGGATGCTCGTTTTGGGTGAGAGTTCTCTCTCTGTGTGTGTGTCTGTATGTAGATGATGAAAAAGAATATATCAACGGTGCGACGACCTTTTTTCCAACTTTACAACATTTCACTATGCTTGATACGCTTCATAATAACAATAATAATGATAATATATATAATAGCATTTCGGTTGTCCGTCGGCGGCGGATAGCGATTTGGTGAGAATTCGTTTCTATTTTTTTTTCCTCATCATCTCTTTTTCTCGTCGGATTTTGGATGCGCTTTTTCTTCCATACGCTTTCACTCGTTCTATCAATCGCTCTGTGTCGCTTCATTTCTTTTTGGTCAATGCGTTCTCGTCGCTCTTGTCGTCGCTCAAAGTGGAGAATATGCATGGCATTTTTACTACCTGCTATTGTTTATTTATTTTTGATAAACTTTTATTTCATGCGGCTATTGATTTGTAGCTGGATCGCAACTCTCATTTATACGATATCGCATCTAGTGAGGTGCGTTTGAATGTGGATAATTTGTAGGCCGCCGAACCGAGAAAACAACAGCAACAACAACAATGGCAGTGAATCAATGGACACATAACACAGCTGTCCTATCTAACTGTCTTGCACACACGGTTTTCATTGTGCAACAGCAATGCCACTTTGAAGAACTTCCAACCAATTGGCCATTAAATCAAATGACGTTCAGACCAACTAAAGCATCGATTCATTCATTTCTTGATGGTCAGCATGTAGACAATAATAAGCAATAGAAAAGAAAGAAAGGAAAAAAAAAATAACATGTTATAAACAAGAGCTCCTCCGATTGCGTGTTCTACGCATGCAGAGACACATTTTAAGCACATTTTGCTGACATAAATACTCGTTCTTTGTTTCAATTTCATTTTATTACGAATATTTATGAGCGCAAAAGAAATAAAATCATTCGGATCAAGTGTGTGGATACTTTTTTTTACTCCTCTCTTCACTTCGATCCACTTGATATTGTGGAAATAACAAAAAAAATAGATACAAGATTTGGTTGATTTAGAAAAAAAACCAACTATATTACACACACATTCAAACAAACCAACGCACAATTTTGGTGATGAGCAAAAGTTGTGATCTCTGGAAACAAAAAAAAATTGATTATACGTTGTTATGGCGTATAATTTTACAAATAATATCGAAATAACCATAATCCATATTTCTCTGTCTCACTCTTTCCCCATACGAATTATGTCAAACAACATAACGAAAAAAAATAGAAGTATTAAATGCCACGATGACGTACAGGTAGAAAAAAGAGTTAAGCACACGAAAAATCAAGAAGAAAGAAAAAAAAATATAAATATCTCTCAAATATTTCAAAAGTGATTTTTGTTTCGTGCGTACGTTCGCTTCGCGCTTTTTTCCCAATCAAACAGTATATAGCAGCAGCAGCATAGTTGAGTTTGTTTGCGCATTGCCGACGCACTTGTTCGGTTGCTTTACTTACATTTCAATCACACCGTAGACGCGCACCGTAGTTTAGGTCACGTGGTATGATGCTTTAACAGCGGTCTAATTTCTTTCATTACACTCAATCACACTGCCTTTAATTGTGCTCAAACTTGTTTCATTTTTTGTTTTTGTTTTCGACCGCATTTCATTTTTTTCATGCGTTTGTCATGAGCAGCAGCCAGTGCACTAAGAAATTTAAAAAAAAACAACTAAAATTCTGTTGGGAAAAAACACTTACACTGGTTTTTTGTTTCATTTTTTGCTTTTTGACACTTGCCTAAACGAAAAATGCCCTTCATATCTCTCATCCACAAGTACAACAAATAAAATAATGACACACGGTGTTCCGCCTATGTTTTTTTTTTAATAATGGTTTTTTATTCTCATTTTTATTTTGTTTGCTTGTCGTCAAAATTTTATTTAATTTTTCTTCAAACAGACACTTATTCCACAAAATCTACCGTATGTAAATCAACCCTGCTTGTCTAATATAATAATTTTTTGTTGTTGTTGTTTGTTGTGTGTGTATGTGTTGTTTCATTTTTTTTCTCTAAAAATGTTCTTTTTTGTTGTTGTTGGTTTTTTGAGCTCGAAACTTTCGCGCATTGAAATATCTCTTTGCCCGTTTACTTCGAATTTTTCATTGTTTTTTTTTTCGATTTTTTTTTGTTGTGTTTAAATAAATTTTTGCAAGTTTTTTGCTTTTCATTTCTCTTTCTCTTCATTTAAATGACTTTTCCTGGTTGTCTTAGACTATACTTGTTGTTTTTTTTATTTCCTTACAATTTGCTTATTTGTGAGTGTTCGGTGTTGTGTCCTTTATGTGGTTTGTTTTCCATTCAACTTATTCCACTTGTCGGGTTATGCACGATTTAGTCATTAAACATTTTTTGTCTTTTCTTCTTTTTTTTATCTATTTAAATATATTTATTAATTAAATGTATGTTTTACATAATTATCAGATAGTTGTAGAGATGTTCTCAAAAGTAGTAGTTTAGTTGGGCATGTCTCACAGAGACTGCAACTGAAGCACCACTTTTAGTGTCAACATCATCATCATCATCATCCTTGTTTTCTGTTTTACCACTCGCTTTGCAATGCGCATATCAATTTTTTTTGTGTTTACTTCTTTCTTTCATTTTTGTGTATGTGTTTGTGTGTGTGTGTTATATGTGCTGTCTCTTCCTAGTTCCTCTTTCGCTCATATTTATACTTTTATTTTATTATGTACAAATTCATTTGAATTATATTTAAATAGTATTAATTCACTCTTGATTTCTGGTGTAGTTCATGTGTTTCTGATTCTTCATTTTTTTTTTGCTTTCTTGTTTTTAGGTGTCAATCAGTTGTGTGTGTTCTGTGTTTATATTTGAATTGTTATTGTTTTGTTTCATCTATGCAATAAACTTGCTCTATGTTCTTTTCTCACTTGATTCGTTTCTCTCTCTCTCTCTCTCTCTCTCTCTCTCTCTCTCTCTCTGTCTCTCTATCGTTTCTCAAATATAAAGATTTTACTTCTTCTTTTTTCTTTTAGAGATTTATAGTATAATGATCTAAATTATTATAATAGTAATAATAGTAGTAATATGCAATAGTTTATGTTTTTTGTAATTTTTTTACGTTTTTTTTCTTTTTCTTTCGTTTTTTTTAATGCTCATTAAATATACGTTATCGTACTTAGTAGATGATTTGTATATTATGTTTGTTTTTTTCATTAATTCTTTTTTGTTCTTGTGTTTTATTGTTTTTTACAATTGTGAACATCATCATTTCGCATGTCAAGTTCATGTCTAAAAAATATTGTTTTGGATTTTTCGTTTGCTTTGAAAATTGGTTTTGTAAAAACGGCAGGAAAAAAATGTGTTTGGTTGTTGCACGTGTGTTAAAAATGTGGAGTTTTTGTGTGTGTGAGTGTGTGACAGTGTTCGATTTGAAAAATACGTAAAGATTCTAGAATGGTTTGTGCAGTGTATCTTTCGTTTACCTATAAATTTGTTTCGGGGGAAATTTTTTGTTTTCTTCTGGTTGAATGTCTTTGATTGCTGGTTGGTTGTATGTGTGTGTGTTTTTCTCTCGTTTTGTTCTTCCATCTCGACAATGACAATGACAAAAGACCGAATTTTACGAGGAAAATTTCAACAAAATGGAGAAAATAACGTGTCATACGACCTGTGAATCGGTTTGTGCCCATTTACATGAACATTTATGTTTATTGCAATTTCATCCGTTTAATGCGCATTTAATTTGAACTTTGATTATCAATGGGAAAAAACACACCGAGCGACCAAGTGAGAGAGAGAGAGAGAGAGAGAGAGAGAGAGAGAGAGAAAGAGAGAGAAGTGAACCGAAGAAGAAAACAGTGACTTTTGCGCTGCGGATCAAATCTGTTTTAGTGTTAAACGCAAACAAAAACCAATGTGACAAACTATTGGATTATTGTTTTTTGTCAATTGTAATTTATTGCATGGATTTGACTTGTGTGTTGTATTTTTATTTTATTTTATTTTTCTTCTCTTCTGCATCGTAGTCGTCAACACAACACACAGCCGTGCATGCATTTTCGGTTGAAACCCGGTTGGTTTTTCCATCCAGCATCCCTATTTTATAACTGCAAGGTTTTTTCCTTCTTTTTTCCTCTTTCAACGTCGTTTCTGCAATACAATGCACATTGATTTCATTTTTAACACTGACTGGGCTGAATTTTGCGCTGGAAGGAACAATGAGACTGAGAAGGATGATTAAATGCAACAACGCAACCAAGAAACGTGCAATGAGGCAAACGAAAGAGAAATTCCCGTTTTATGTCTGTGCGTATATCTGTTGGTCTCGAATTTTTTGAGTGGTTCACCAGAATCATTTATGTATGTGGGCATTGCATTTGGACTGACTATTTGTTGAGATGCAGTTTGAGTAATGGGGTTACCTTGTTAAGTAGTAATATTGCGATCCTTTTTGCATTTGTGTGTCTTTCTTTCGTTCAAAAACTAACACTGAGCATATGACAATTAAGGATCGTGTCAGTCGTGTTCCCTCTTCATTACAACAAATTATCAAAAACAAATGTATTTTTTGAGCAAATATTTGTAGCTTGTCATCGCACACCGATCATTTTTTTCTTCTAAATAAATGTGGTTCAATAAATATTAACGCTGTCTACCGTTTTTTCTCTTCTTTTTTTTTGACACAGATACGTGAATAAAACGAACGGAGGAAAAGAAAGAGCAAAAAGCATTATGTTCACTTTTCATCAAAGTCATCGTCAATGGGACTGACTACATAGGAAAAAAGAGAAAAGAAATTATAACAACTAGCAATTATATCAGTCCACCGTGGGCTTTCTAAAACGTTTATTTATTTCATTCTGTTGTTGTCTGTATCGTCCACTGAACAAATAGTTTCACGTTTACAAAATCAAGTGTATTTGAACTAAAATAAACATAAAGAAAAGAAATCTTTGCATTTTTTTTGCACATCGTGATTGCATTTGCTTTGAAACTCAGTTACTCTTACAAATTAGATAAAAGCATAGCTCACAAAATTCGATCTCGACTATAGCCCCGAAAAAAATGCGGGTGATTCGCGCTTTGTAAAATGATTCAAATGCCTAACGTAGAATGTGAAACAAAAAGAATGCAATTGATTTGATTCCCAATTATCGATCGGTTCTTCGTCTAATTCTGTTTGCTTTCCAATTGTCCTTGCCAACACACGCACACACATTTTCAAGTAAAATTTCAATATGTATAAATGGTATGTGTTTCGCACTCTGTCTCATGCTAAGCTATGTACCCAAGTGATGGTCATTATTTACAAGCAAAAATCGTATATAATTTTTCACATTTTTCTCTGTTACTTTACTTCTTTCCAATAATTGGCTTCATTTCAAATGCCCACCCGGTTATTGGCGAAAAATTCCCATGGAATTTTCGGGCTTACACATTATTTTCGGCTTTGAAAATTGGCCATTTTCTCGGAGAATATAAACAAAACAATACAATACACAATTTAAAAACAGATACCAACGAAAAAAGAGTATATGAGAAAAACAAATGAACACAAGCCTAAACACGAGAAATCCAGAAAAAATAATAATTAAGAAGCGAACGAAAGAGATACAGGAATCGGAAAAGTGTTAATTTTCTATTGTTGTTGTTGTTATTGTGCAAAACTGAATGAATTCATATACGAAATGAAAGCAACGGAAAACCATCTGTATGTTTTTTTCGTCATTTATTTTTCTTTCTTTCCTTGGCTAAATTTAACTATGCGTCAAAACACCAAAAAAAAACAATAAATTTTTTATTTATCCAATTCAAAACTAAATTTTCCCAAAACAAGAAATTGCGTCCAAACTAAAAAATAATTATTCGATTTTCTTCTTTACATAAAATTTTTTCGTCTTGATTTTTTTATTTGATTGATTATCATTTTTAGACTTCAACTTTACTGTTCTTACTAAAACAAACGTTAGCATTCTGCATCTCGGTCTGATTTTCTTTTTCATTCTTTTTTTTTTTTTAAATTGGTTTCAATTTTGTATGTGTGTCATTTTAAATTTAAGCCACATTAACATATTACTAGATAATAATATATATTATTTTTATGTGTAAGTAAGATGTGTAATAAAAGTTTAAAAATTACTTACATAAAATACAAAAAATGACGTTATTTCGTACTTTTTTTTTGAACATTTTCGATAAATATTTCTCTGTGTGTGTTTTTTTCTGTTTGCTTCACCTCGCCTGAATACGCGGTTTCAGATGGGAGGTTCAAATTTATTATGATTAAGATTTTGCATGGTTTTTTTTTCACATGAATTTTGTTTTCTTTGTTTCGTTTCGGTGTTTTTTTGTTTGTTTCATTTTTGCATCGTGTATCGATTCCATTGGAAATTTTGCGCCATGTTTTCTGCATATTGGTGTAGTTTTGTTTAAATTGTTGTCGCATGAAGGAGCTCGATTTTCAAAACGAAAGAAAAAAACTTGGTTTTATTGTTGCTATGTATTGAGTCGGCTTTTAGTCGTGTGTTTTGTCACTAGAACTTTTTTTTGTTGCTTGATTCGTGATTTCTCTTCATCTTTCATTTTGTTTGTTTATTTGTTACATATTAATTTAAAATCGTCTATGGAAAAATTATAGACGAAGATCATTATATATTTGTCTAAATCTTAGGAATTTGTATATACATATTCTTAGGACATACATATATTTGTTACTTTTTTTTCTCTTCTCTCCTTTGCAATTCAATTTTATTATTATGCATCTTGGTTATTTTGAAACATCACTTGTCTGTTTATTTGTTGTTGTTGTTTTTTACTTGTTTTTAGTTATTACGAATCGTATAATTAGTTTGCTTCGTTTTGGTTGCCCTTTTGTTCGGGATTGTTGCTGTTGCTGCTGCTGCTGCTGATGGTGTTGTTGTTGCTGTGTTGAGAATGTGAAAATGATGAAGAAAACGCATCTCGTTGAACGAAGTGAGGAACCGCCGGAAATTGTGATTCGATTGCGATTCAGGCGAAATAGTTCGTTGTGACCGAAATGCGGCAAATCCAATGAATGGCAACATCGGATTGGCCGCCGTCGCCGCCGCCGCTCCTGCTGCTGCCGCTGCATTTCGGCCAAATAAAAGGGCAAAATAAACAGAGAATTGACACGAAAAAAACGAAATTTCTAATTGCCAAATTGCAGGGTCCACTCTTGAAACAATCTTCTGGCATGAAGTTGTTGCTGCTGCTGATGGTGTTGTTGATAGCGTTGATGATCGATGTACATGGCCATTTGTGATGTTGGTAACATTTTCGATGGGCTCGATCCACTAGCATACTGGGCAGACGACATGGACTCCTGGATCTCTGATTGCTAGTGAGCCGTCAGCTGATGAGCATTTGGATTTTGCATATTTTGTGGACTAAGCATTGGGGGGCTATGTGAATGGCTATGTGTTCCCATTGGACTTCCGTGTAAATCGTGATGATGGTAGCCACCGTGTGGATGCATATGCGACGGTGGCATACCGTCCATCATATCACCGCCTATTGTATTCGGAGGTGTCATTCGTTTCTCTTTTTGCCGTCGATTGCAGAACCATACGCGCACCACTTCCTTTTCCAGCTGCAGCGAATCGGCCAGCGACGTAATCTCCTGTGCCGACGGTTTTGGTTGTTTATGGAAATGCTGTTCTAATGCACCTTTTACCGACACCTCAATGCTCGTACGCTTTTTGCGCTTTCGCCCCTGTGCCGCTATTTTATCGATGCTAGTTGGTGAGCCGGTCGTTGAGTCAGCCTCTTCCAGCCACTTTTGCAGCAGTGGCTTCAATTTGCACATATTTTTAAAACTTAACTGTAAAGCCTCGAAACGGCATATCGTTGTTTGTGAAAAGACATTTCCATAAAGTGTACCTAGCGCTAAACCGACGTCGGCCTGTGTAAAACCTAATTTAATTCGTCGCTGTTTGAATTGTTTTGCGAATGCTTCTAAATCGTCGGATGTTGGTGTGTCCTCTTCACCGGCGCTAACGTCGCGATCGCCCTGCAAGTGATGAGGATGCAAATGTAATTGTGGCGATTCTCGCAGCGCATGGTGCAGTGGGGCGACACTTTGATGATGCGGATGTCCTGTGTGATGTAGCATACCATTCATAGCCGGGTGATATTGAAGCGGTGAGCCGCCGGTTGGTGCATAATGCGAGGCGGCATGTACTGGTGCATGCCAACCATGTGGCGATGCCATTCCCTGTTGTACTCTACTTTGTTGCGCTAAATGTGACATTTCTGGTTTCACATCAGCGGGATGATGGTGGCCATGATGCGATTGCAAGCCCCATGGATCATTTGGATGCAACGATGACCATGGATTCGAGCTCAAGCTGCTGGTGAGTGCGCCGCCCGTGTTCGGGCTTGGGCTGGATGGTACATGATGATGATGTGCCGTATGATTTGGATGATGATGATGCAAATATTTCATTTCGCCTGCATCGGTGCCGCTTCGAGGCGATGGTGTGTGATATGCAGCGCCCAGAGCCATGTCCAACTCGCCAGATGAAGTCATATATGTTGTGGCCATTTTTGGAGAATATTCTCCAAAATTTTCCAGTTTTTACAGATGAAAACTTTTACACATATCACACTACAATTCGAACTCAAGACGAATTGCCCTCTGCTTCTACTCTTCGCTTCCGATCGCTTATTCTCTTTTTTTTTCTCTTGCTCTTCTCGTGCTTCGTTTCGTTCCGTTTGTGCCCGTGATTTGATTGGCTCTCTAATTCGCACTTTGACTCTTTTTTCGGTCTATTGAAACGTGAACAGTAACTGAACCGAATGCACACTCGAAAATAAAAAAAAACAACAACTTATGGAACCGTTTAATTTGAAATTATCGTAGCAACCAGTTCAAATCGACAATTGAACCAACTGCGTGCTCTTCGTGTTATATGACTGGTGGTGGTTGTTGTGTATTTTCTTCTCTTCTGTTTTGTCTTCTTCTCTGTGGTCGTCAAGAATATTTGTCGTTCATTCAAGAGTACCGTGCTATTGTTCTGCTCTTAATTTATGGGCTGTGTCAAACACAATACGATTTCAGTCAAATAAATAAAATCAAAGTCGTCGCATGAAATTTATCGAAGAAAAAAAATTAATACGAAGAAAATCTATTCGATTATTGATTTGTTTGTCTTTCTTTTGTTTGTCACACAGTTTTTCACGCAATCCTTTTTTTTTAGATAAATTTGTTTCGGGTTGTTTTTTTTTGCTTTTTCTTATTTCGTTTTGTGTTGGGATGCAATGCGAGAAACGTTGTATCAATTTAACTTTAGATGATAATCCATCGAGCAGGTAAACACAAACACATAAACACACTATACATATACTGTCACTTATAGAGTGCTTGAGAATCACTTAAGTTTGAGCAGTTTCTTCGTCTCTAGCGTTTTATTTCTCTCTTTTTTGGGTTGTTGATAAAAAATGATAAATCGCAAAATCGCTTGGTTCTTTTTATAATTCGATTCAAAGGTCACAAATTTGAGCAAAAATTGTTTCGCTTTTATTTTATGGCGTTGGTGGTTTATTTGATAATGAGCGATCAAAACTAATTGTGTGTTTTTTATGTTCTTGTTTTGTTTTTTTTTTTTTAATTTTTGTATCAGGTACTCGCCGCCGTTGTGCTATTGTGCTGGAATTTAAGACTCAATGTTGTTCGTTGTCCTTTAACATTCGCACAATTTTCGGATTTTCTTTGTCAGAAAAATACTGATGTTTTTTGCTCTTTTTTCTATTTGAAGCGTCGCATCACTCGCACTGATTGTCACTCAGCACCTGAATGAATGTCGATTTAAGTTTTTGCGTTTTCACTTGCACAGTGTGTGTGTATGTGCTGTAATGTATCATCGAAATGCAAAGTCTTTAGATTGTCTTGTTGATTCGCGTTTTTTTTTCTTTTTTTTTCAAAACTTTACTTCAACAATTCGTTGATTTGCGATCGATCGTACACAACTGAATTTGAAAACTGCACACGCAAAAAAATTATAAATTTTTTTTTTGTCTTCTGATTGATAACCGATTGATAAATATTCTGCGTTTTTTACATCGAAGCTAGAACTCGAATTCTTTTCTTCAGATAATTCTAATATCATTGAATCGAAAATAAAAATTCTGTGAACTGTGTTGTATGGTGTTACATGTGTACATATGTGTATAAAAATGAGGAAATATTTTTATATATTTTTTCGAACGCACTAAAACGTGTTCACGTGCAGACTCAACGAGGTATCGAAGTCAACTGACAATAATGAACTACTCGCTCTGTGCCGTCTACTCAATATTCTATATTTTCTTCTACTACAAACATTACTAACACTTCTTCACATTGTGCTTACTGTCGCGCGCTCGTTGCTTTGGTTTTTTTTTCCTCTCTTCTCTTCTTTTTTTTTCTTGTTTGTTATAAGCCTCGTCTCACCGCAGCTATGCTTTGCCGTTCTTTCGCCCATATGTGCACACGGTCGGAGCACACACGCACATCGTTTGGACTCGTTTTAATACATGAGCCGCGTGATTTTGTCTCGCTTTTTGCCGTTTACTTCATACACTATGTGTGTACGGTGCACAAGTGGTGGTGCTACGAATGCAATAAACAATGTGAAAAACCAGTGAGGAGAACAGAACAAGAAAAAAAGAAAACGGGAGATCTTATGCACGTTTCACACACATACACGCATACTAATCCATTCCATAGATACTCACAGCACGGCTTGTCAACATTTGAGCAAAGCACACACTGTGTATCGTTTGTGCACACACTCCATATATACCCCACTTACTTATGTCGTCTACTGCTGCTGCTGGCTATAGAGTGCCTATCAGCCGTTTCATGCAAACGGAAAACTGATTGGACTCATGATAGACATTTACACACAGGCTATACGTGTATCTGGTGTGACGTCACATTTTTTTTTCGTAAACACCCATCACGTATGCCAATGCATTCTGGCTCCGCCTCTTTCAAAACGTATTCGTATACGTATACGTGTGTGAACCGATTGCCACTGTGGCTGTATTTGTGCAGTGTGTATGCGAGCAGAATGAAAAGCTGACATCGCTGCCAATACTTTTCGATGCTTCTCATCAGTGTGAACAATGTTCTCAATTCGGTCGGTATGCGCATGACGACCAACGAAATTTTCTTCGCTCCGCTGAATTCCGTACGACTCTCTCTCACTCTCTGGACGAACCGTTTCTCGCGAAGATATGAGAAGAAATTGCGCTGCGAGAAACAGACTTTTCGAAACTGAAAAATTGAATTCTACTTGGCTTTTTCACGATTTGGTTTTCTTTTTTTCTTTTTCACTATCACAAATTTCATTCTTTTGTTTAGAAATTTAATTTTACGAAAGAAATTTCAAATAATTTCATCGCGAATAATCTTTATTCGAATGCATGACACTAAAACCGATGATTAAACGAACGAAAAACAAGTTAATAGAAAAAGGTTCCAAATTTTATCGAGTCTTACTTTATTTTTTTCAAACCTTTCAAATTGAGGAGAAAAATCCAATTCGATGTTATATTAGGCAAAAAAAAACCGAATTCGATTCTCTTGCCTTTTTGCATCACAATACAGCGCATACACGGTCTAACGGAATTTGCAGTGTCTATTTCAAATGTTCAAAATATTCAGCTTTTAATTCAGCGCTCAAAGATTCACATTTGCAACACTTTACATCCGTTACACCGCCAAAGCACAATTCAAAGTTGATAAAGTTTGTGGCCGTCAATGGAATAAGTTGGTTTGCATTTAAAATCACATTTGCTGGTTGGCTTCGGTCTATTTTGCCGAATTTTTTTTCTTCTTTTTTTTTCATTTGGTTTTATGATGATGGATTGAAGAATTGTTTGTTTTAATTAAGCCGTTAAATTGCGTACGGATGCGACCACATGTTAGGCACACATTGCAACAGGTTGAATTGTGTGTGCGGTACGAGTATGATTTCGAAAATCTAAATTATTCAGATTGGCATGCGCCATATATGCAAATCACGGTTACATGGTACATATCAACTGCGTGCTACGTTACGATCTTACTTGCTCAGAGACAGCCGACCAAATGAAGTGAGTGCGTAAACAAAACGAACATTTTTTTTTCGTGCCTGGAACGAATCAAGCAAAGAATCGGTAAAGAATTGTTTTTTCCTTCATTTGAACAGAACAGAACAGGAGGAACTTAGCCACCAGAAAAAAAAATAAGTGCCACGAGTAAGTCCCAAAGCGAGCGAGAGAGAGAGAGAGAGAGAGAGAGAGAGAGAGGGAGAGAGAGAGAGAGGGAGAGAGAGAGACGCACATTAAAATAATTTCCACTGAGAGAGTATTTGGTTAGCGCGCTGTTGTTTGCCGATCTTCTTGTGCATTCTTCATCTTTAGTCATCGATGAATATTTATTAATGCTGATTCCATATGCATACCATGGGTATGTGTGTGTGTATTTGGTTTGGCACGATCACACACACGCGTATGTTTGACACAGTTGAAAGTGAAAATTGCGCACGGAAACCGAAAACAAAAGCACGATATATTCTTTAATGGAAAGGAAGTAAACCTCTAGCTGAGAGAGAGAGAAAGCATCTATCGGATCGTAATGGGTTTTGGCACTTTTCTCTCTGCTCGTTCTCAATTAGATCGAGAATTATGACGAGAAGCAAAGTATTTAAAAAAAAAGAGTTGTGAAAAAAACGTCCTTGTTTTTTAAACATCATCATTGACTCTCCACACTTCAAAACGACTCATCCCTTTTTTTGTTGGATTTTAATTTACATAATGTGCCATACGATTCAGTTTTCATTAGGCTCTTGAATTGCATACGCTTTTGAATATGATGTTCTGAAAAAATGCACAACATTAATCGGCACACAAGAATCAGCGGCAGCGCAAAAAAAAAACTGATACAACAACCGAGAAGCGATAGCGTTGAAGAACACCGAAAACATCGGTGTGCATCTCATTTGATTGAAAACGGGTATAAAACCGCTGGAGATCGGATTAATCTCGGGTGGTGCATGTTAATATATTCTGTGGACATGAGACAGAGGAAGACAATAGGAATATCTGCAGTCGTGTATTTAAGGACTCGACTTCGTATATATTAACTGCTGTGTGTTAAATTTATCTCCCATTCAATATTGTATGCACCACGAACCAAATGATTTTTTAATTTATTAGTGGCATAACATATAAAGTGGTGGTGATTTGTGACTTTGACACATACTGACAAATTAAGTCATTATTACAGCTAATTTGAATGAATGCTAACTATCAATTTGGTGTCATAAAAGATCGGATGCACAATGCGGCAACAGGAGCCGACAGAACATCATTCCGAATTGATGCATTTAATGCTCTTTCTCTCAATCGGGCTTTTCTCTGATATTTCAATTTTTTCTTCGCTTCGTTGTGAGGTTTTTTTTCTTTCGCATTATTACTTATTAAATGAATCCATTTATTACGTTACCATTTTGAGCTGAAATACGCAGAGAATTAGCTTAATAACGAATTAGAAGAGAGCGAAATAGCAGAAGAAACAAAAAACGACCCGAACGAATTACAAATAACAACAGCGATCGTTGATAAATTAATTAGTGCATACTTGTTGAAAATAATTAAATGAATCAAATGGGTGTGTGTGTGTGCGTGTGTATTCGCACAAAAATGATGAAAATCATAATTAAATGCGACTGCATCGGCACATTCTGCGCAATGCTACTCTGGATGGTTGGAAATGTTGGGCTTAATTGCTTCCCATACCGCATAATACTGGTAGTAGTCGTCGTTGCCAATTGCGTTGTTTTTTTTTTCAGACCACGATGGATGAGAACGAGAATCCGTGCGAAATGTCGCATATCATACATCATGTTCAGTCATTCGATGTGTCATTCATTTCCAATTGTTCCATCATCGGCGGCGGCGGCGGCGGTTACGGTTTTAAATGTGGCCATTAACTTTCTCGTTTTTCATCGTCGACGACGGTATCGATGGCTAATTGCTACACCAATGGATCGACCGAAAATGTAACCCACATTCATATCTCGACATTTGTTATTTTCCATAGATAATAGGCGCGAGAGAGATAGAGACAAGAGAAAAATGAGTAGTCGTAGTAGCAGCAGCAGCAGTGTGGCAGTGTATGACAACGCTTGCGAAAAGATTCCAACAATTTTCTTATTCATTCATTCATTCATTCGATCATGATATCGAGCTGAAGTGGAGTTCGCGTTCGCATAATCAAACAACAACACTATTAACTGTAGTGTGTCGACTAAATATCGTTCAAAACGCGAAAAATATCTAGGACAACATCCATTTATGGTTTTCGTTAGTAATAATAATTGAAAAGGTATGAATCAAGAAATGGAATAAAGTACGTACAGAGAGCGAAACGCGCGCGTATGATTGAATAGAGAAGAAGAAGAAGAAGAAGAAAAAGAAGAAGAGAAAAAGCAAAGGCTGGAACATACTATAACGAATTGGTTAAGCGCACCACCACTTTGATTTGTGTGATACACAATGCATATAGACGTCCACTCTCTTGACGGAGATGGCTGAAAAACAACATTTTCACTGATGAGAAATACATAAAAAAATTTCTATTTCGATTTAACTAAATCTCGCCACAAACATGACTCTTTTCTATTCATCTCGGTGTGCTTTTTTATTTATCTCTAAAACTGTAATCGGACTCACACTGTAGTCCACAACATAATAATGTGATACACACGCTGCCAAGTGAAGTAACATACCAAACAATCCGCACAGATTTAATAACAGCGCGAGCGAATGAGCGACTACATTTTTATTTTACTTTGACTCAATCCATCACGTTTATTATATTTCATTTCGCAGTGTATTACATTCTTTTTCAATGTTTAAATTAAATGATTTTTCTTTCTCTGTCTCTTTCTTTCCCTCTCTCTCGGCTAAAATGAATTGCGCGCTCGCATCAAGTCACTCTCTTAATGTGATATTTATTCGCCTTAATCGTATCGAAAAACATTCCATAATAACACGAAATGAGAGAAGAAGAAGAAAAAAATGAGTAAATAGTTGGCGAGTAAATGAATTAATTACAAATTGGCAATGCGCACGTTGAGCGAGGAGCGACTTCATTAATTTGTAGTGCATCTCGAAAATGATGCGAGCGAAAGAGAGATGTTGGCAAAAGAACATGATCTGACGCCACAATCATTTATGATCACCGAGTTTCACATTGGAACACACATATTTATTGCGTTGACTATTCGCAACGGTTTTCATTTCGCAAATTTTTCATCGTTGACAACAATTCGTTGCTAT